CAGCGCCCTGCCATGAAAAGCAATGTTTCCACCCTCACCGCCCTCACCGCCCCCACCGCCTCCACCGCCCTCACCGCCCCCGCCCCCCCTGCCACCAAAAGCAATGTTTTACTGCCCAACCCCCGCCGCCCTCACCGCCCCGCTGAACGGGGGTGGGAAGGCGGTGAGAGCGGTGAGGGCGGTGCGGTGAGGGCGGTGAGGGCGGCGAGGGCGGCGAGGGCGGTGAGGGCGGTGGGGCGGTGGGCGGTGAACCCCGACTGGAGCCCTTGACACAATGGTTTTCATAGCCGCAGCGAGGATACAGGTCAAGTGAAGGAGGGGCAAAGGGTCTTCACTGACGCCGACCCCCGCTTCGGGGTCGGCGGATAAAACACACCAAAATACAAAAAAAGACATCCCAAATCGATGTTGCATCCCTAGGGTTTGGCTGCAGTCTTCATCTTCGGGCATGACCCCGACGCTTGAAGTACTGCTGACACGCGTTAAGCGCGTCCGGGCACACTGAATATCTTCTAAATGGTAAGGGCAACACTTTCCAAAAACGAGAGAAGGCTGCCGAGCGGGCTGAGCTTCCCGCTGCGATGGAGGCACCTGGCAGCGCGCTCCCGGTCATGGAGCCTCAGGAAGATACTGGGTAGACCCTCAAAACATGTCACATACGCCCTCGCTCGCCCAGAAGCATAGGACACATCTGCCGTGCCCTCGATGACAGACCCGCTGGCCGTGCTGAACGCAATTCATCAAGTCTTGGTCTCCGCAGGTCGCTTTGCTTGGATTGCTCACATCTATGCTGTGTGGCGCTGGGCAAGCAAAACACCCCTGCAGGTTTACATGCCGATTTGTCTTTGCCTACCATTGCAGTGGTGGGTTCCCAGTCCGTGGGCAAGACGTCTGTGCTGGAGAGCCTTGTAGGCTGGCCTGATGCATCAACCTCTTCAAACCACCAGTCACGAGATGCTCTACACAGAGCGAAGCAACGAACTGTCGTTTACTCTTGAGCAGTATAAGCTTGTGTGCTATGTGCAGGAAGAGACTTCCTGCCAAGAGGGACGGGCATCGTAACCCGAAGGCCGCTAATTCTGCAGCTGCAGCAGGTGCGCCAAGCAGGACCGGGATGTAGGTCAAGGTCATGGCGCGAAAGGAACTCTCGCATGGAAAATGACAAGAGCTTCGCTAGCTATCCATATGCAAGGAGCTGAACATCAAGCGCAGAGCGAGTGGGCTGAATTCCAGCACTGCAACCAGAGGCAGGTGAGAACAACTGCTTTAGGGTTGCAGACGACTGTCATGGCACAACTGTCATCTCCTGCAGAGACGGCAACATGCGAGCACACAGTGCTTGAGGTTTATTGACTTCAACGATGTCCGCAGGGAGATTGAAGCAGAAACAGCCCGCGTTTGTAATGGCAGCCGCCGCTCAGCGCAGAAGTCCGTACAGGATGTGGTACCTTAGGACAATCATGCGTTACTTTGGGGGCCCGCAAACTGGACTTGAAAGAGGGAGGACCCTGTACTTTCAAGTCATCTTATGTTTTTAGGCCTTAAGCTTGATCCTCCTTGCTGCAGTTGGCAAGGTGGCGTCAGCGACGAGCCCATCCTCCTGCGAATCTTCTCTCCGACGGTCATGGACCTGACTCTTGTCGACTTGCCTGGGCTCACCAAGGCACATCAGAGCCTGCCTCTCGTAGCCGTGTGCTAGGATTTGCTGCAAAGGTGCCCACGGGTGACCAGCCGAAGGACATAGCCCGGAGAATCCAGAAGCTCAGCTCACTGAAGTAAAAAGCACAAGGGCAGCAAGCTAAGTTCCAGACTTAAAACAAAGCTCAGGGATTTGGTGAAGAAGTACGTGGCCAACAACAACACGCTGATTCTTGCAGTGTCAGCAGCCAACGTGGACCTGGCCACTTCTGACGCCTTGGCCTTGGCCAGAGAGGTTGATCCCAAGGGTGAGCGCACGGCCACCTGGGCTGCAATGAGAGCCTGTTCATCCGCTAACCCCAAAAGCAGCCCATGAGTTTAGGGCCCTTGGAAAAAGAAGGCTTTATCTCCTCAGAACTTGGATGGAGGTGATCATCTCTGTAATGAGAACACTGCCAAGGCTTACTGACCCCTGTCATGTCCTACCCTTTTCCAAGAAAGCACTCGAGAACTTGAAAGCAGAGCTCAGGTAGGTGTACTCACCAAGCTGGACCTGGCAGAAGAGAACGGCACGGCCTTCGAAGCGCTGGCTGGCGAAGTCTACCCCTTGCGGTTGGGCTACACAGCCGTGGTCTGCAGGACGCTTCTCACAACAGCCCCTGCCACATGAAAGCGCTTGAGGGTGAAAGGTTGTAAGCCTGAAAGCTTGTAAATGGCCACCTTCTGCTGGAAGCATTTGGAGGCCTCACTTCAGGAATCGCTTGCTTGATTGCATTCTTCATATTCTTCCATCTTCAGTTTTGGACGAGCTGGCCGCCGATTCTGGCTCAAGAGACGCTGTGTGCCATGCATAGAAAATCACAATCATCAGAATGGAAGTTTCCGCATCCCCAAGCCCTAGCTGCCCAGACCCTCAGGCCTTGAGGGGTCTTTGACAATCCACCCGCCATCACATGCCTCATCTCAGCTTTCTGCATTTCGCCTTTTGAGAAAGACACGCGCATCAAAAGCAGCTATGCGCCACCGACTCTTGAGAGCGTGCTTGGCCTTGCAGGCCTTATGTGCCTGTGGCAGCAAAGGTGGGCTTGCAGCAAAACTTGTAAAACTCTAGCCAACTAAGTCCTAAGTCCTAAGTGTGAGGAACACCCTAAACGAGATCATCCTTATAGTGCGCTGGTGCCTCAGAACCAGGTGATACATGTGCTGCTGGCGAGGCTGGCGACTGCACTTCAGAAGATTCCGAGCCTTCCCAGGCTTCTCAGACGAGACAACACTACTGGCCTTTTCAGAAGGGGGATGCTGAGCGAACCGGACACTCACCGTACGTGATGCCAGACATCACCAAGGGACCAAGCTGGACGTGGCAGGAGACTTTTGGAGACGTTGTTCGCAGTACCCCCTTAATTGATGACCAGAAGAACATCTATATAACGACAGTTGCTGGAAGAGTCTACAAGTTCACCGTGGATGGCAAAGTGCTCTGGACATATTATACAGGCAGCAAGGGGACTGTTTCAGGATCGCCGTCCTTATTTGATTCCGCCATGCTGTTCCTGACTCGGAAAGGTTTCCTTGTCGTCTTAGATCTGGAGACTGGTAAGGAGATCTTTGCACCACAGATCGCCCCACAAGTGGCAACCTCTGCAGACTGCAACCTGGTGACGCAGAAGAAGCTGATCGTCGCCGTTACAGACCCTGTGCCGATGAAGCAGTCGAGGGATCCCAATGCTCACTACACGGTAGAAAACAACCGTATTTTGGCTCTGAGCCTGGAAGATGGCTCCTTGCAGTGGTCTTTCGCACCCTACCGAACAACTTTCAATTTCCAGGCGTCAACAATCCACGATGGCAGCTTCGTGTTCCAGGACACGGCTGGTGGTGTCTATCGCGTCTCCACAGCAGACGGCAGGCTTATGTGGTACTCCAAGACGCCAGACAGGGAGTCTGGCACAACTGGTGCTGCAGTCCTTCGCGATGGCCGTGTTTTTGCAGTAAGCAACATCGGCAGTGGGCCCATGATCGAGTATACCAAGGAAGGTAAGGGGCTGTTGCATGTGTACAATTACGAAGATGGCAGGCTTCTTTGGACACAGGACCTCCCTTACGAAGGCAATCAAGCTGTGGCGGTTGGAGAGATTGCTGGCTTTTCCGGAAAGAACTCTCTGATTTTGGGGACGGGCAGGAACCCAGGTCTGCCAACCATTGTGAGGATTGCCTTCAGCCTCCCAGACATCCACCTGGCGCTATTGTTTTTGCCCATACAATGGCTCAGTGTCCGCTTTCCCAGCTGGTTCGCACAGAAGCAGAAGCGATCAATTGTGGCTTTAGATGCTGCGACGGGCAATGTTCTTTGGTACCATGAGCTGGAGCCCTATCAGCAACCAGCGGCAGCAGGCGATGCAGAAAACATGGGACGACGCTTCATGGCAATGACTGATGGCACCAACCCCAACAACGAGCCTCTGTGCCTACCTGATTCTAATGCGCAGCCTGTTATTGATGGAGCAGGCACAGCATTCGTTCCATTCCAAGATGGAAAAGTGTATATTTTGCGAGATGAGAATGGTGATGGCAAGATCTCGGCAGAGGAGATAAAGGAGCACCTGGTGGGTTCTGCTTTCCAGGCCGTCCCTGCTATGGCACCTGGACTTTTTGTGTTGGTCGACTGCAGCGGGCGCTTGGAGGTTTTCCGAGAGCCATGATGCCCTCTGCTGGTCACGGAAAACTTCTCCAGGGTCAGCCATCCGAAGAGCTTCGACGTGAGCTTTTTCGTTCAGCCCTGCTCCCTGCGCCTTGCCAGAATAGCTGCAGAGCTCCCAAACCATGTCGCAGGACAGAAAAAGGAGATTGCAATTTTGCAAAGCTCTGCTGCGCATTTGGCAAGTGTTGACAAAGTCCGCGCCTCTGCTGAGATGCGGGCATGGTGCACTCCGCGCAACAACTCTCAGCTTTTGCCATGGCCAAGTCTTGCCTGCATCAGAGCATTGTTCTGACCACTTTTGATGCCTGCATTCTTTTCGCAGGAGTGAGAGGGCCAGCCAGTCCGGAATGACATTCGAAGATGCGTTGAAGGTGCCTTGCTGCGAAGACCGGAAAGCATTGAAGACATCGCCATGTTGTTCAGGAGGAGCATGATTTCTTCGCGCGGCAACCGCGGCTACAGCCGCTGCTGTCGCAGTCCTTCGACTCCGTGTGTGCAGGCATTAGAAGGGCTTTTGAGAGTTGGGTGGTGAAGACAAGGTGTGGGATCCCCAACCTGGCCCAGCGCTTGCAGTTCCTGCTCCTGAACCACATCAGGGAGGCAGGCCTGCAGGTGTCCTGCAGTTCCCCAATTTGCCTCTGCTGAAGGCTTTGCCCGCTCTTCGCACAAACATGCAACGGGTGGCAGAGAAGTGTCGCGAGGACACAGTGAGAAGTTGCTAAGTTGAGATTTGGCACTTATACTCCTCAGAAAATGAGTGTTGAACCTGCTGCACAAGGAGCTTGCAACGCTCGGTGACGAAAACCTCGAGAAGCAGATGGGGCAAGGGCCGCTTTTGTCTTGGCCTTTGTCTGGGCTTATGGCCACACAGACATGACCGCCATCAGCAGTGAAATTTGCTCAGGCTTTACCTGATTTCTTGCTATGTCCGGCACTTTGGCGACCTGCTAGAGGGTCGAGTGGGGCATCGATTGCAGGACCGTGGCTCACCAGAAGTCTGCGTACACGGCCCCTGAATGATTTCTACTCGTCAGGGCATTGCTACCCGTCGACATACCATGTACGACTTGGTTGGGCGTGATAGGGACAGGGATATAGAAAACATCCAGCTTCCATAGCTCACATCTTTGACTCGGAGGATCCTCCGCCAGCTAAGCTGATTGGCGGCGCTCGTATCCATCACATCTTCCATCGCGTTTTCGCCCAGGACCATGACCTTGTAATCAGGCTGCCCCCAAAATATTGCAATCCACATGAACAGGGGGTTCTTGATTTCGTGAAGCCTTGATAGATCTTGCACTGGGGCTTGAAGAGCTTGACGAGGAGATCCTGCAGTTTGATGCCTTCACTGGCCTCTCGGATATGGACATACGAGTTGCAATGAGGAATGCTGCTGGACCCAAGCCACAGCCGCTCAGCAGGATTCGGACAGCGAAATAGGCTAACTACGGGTAGTTCCTACTTTCTGGCTTATACTGAAAAGTTTAACTAGGGGCAAATTGTAGGGTTGGCTGAACGCTGTGAGTGGTATTCTTGATGTCCGTGGCCAAGGGGGTCGGTACTGACATTCAGACCATTCAAAGATCTGTTCCTGCTTGACAGAAGCATTGATACAAGGGTCACACTGACGCAGTTTTCATCGTGGCGGCAAGCAGGCTGCTGCTGCCTCCCGCTGTCTGAACACGTTTTGAGCGCCCTTTTGAATGGCCTGCGCAGCAAATCTGGTTGCTTGGATAGAGCAAAGCCAGCAGCAGCTTGATACTGGAGCATGTCTTGCGCCTGCTCGACGCTACTTTGAACACTTGGCACTAGACACGCTATAGTGCCCGGATACATCTCCAGCCATCAACAGAAGCATTACCTGGGCTTGTTTCAGGCAGCACCCAGCGCCCTGCTGTATGGGGCAGTGGAGAGGGGTTGGCAATCCAATCAGCGGTGCCAGATGTCTTTAACATTGAGCGATTGATCATTTGCTGCAGCAGCACCTTCGCAGCACCGTCAAACTTGGGAGCGAAAAGAGTTGGAATGGGTAGTGCAGCTGCAGGCTGTTCGTGCCGGAGATTGCTTTCGAAAGGATGGTGAAGCGTCAAATTCAGAAGCTGGAGGATCCCGCGCTTCAGTGGCTTGGCCTGAATCACCCAGGCTCCGTGAGCAGCAGACTTCAAGCCTCACTCGCCTGAAATACAGGCTTTAGCCGCAGTTGGCACTCAGTAGTTGCGCTGCCCAACATCACAGACAACATCATGCGGCACTTTAAGAACATCTCACTCCTCATTGCTGCAATGCCCAAGGATGAAGTCTGCCGTTTTTTAATTGTCTTTGGTACTGCACGTAGAATTCTACAATTCATACTGGATTTACAGCCAACTTGGCTCATGATGAGGATCTCGAAGCCAAGAGCTATCAGGCCCAACTAGCATGCTAAACCTTGAGTAGTTGAAGGCAGCAAACCATGCACAGCGAAACGAGAGATGGACCTCAGCCGGTTTGGTAGAATCGTGCCGTATTCAATTTGCCAGGTGTGTGGCTCTGGTTTTCGAGGACCAGTTCCTGCAAGGAAACATCATAAGGCCGTTTTCCGCGTCACTCTATAGAGTAGAAATCACATTGCCCAAGTTTTGTGAAACCCCAGCAGCGAAAGGTGCATTCTCAAATAGCGGGGGTCACAATCGTGGCCCCTTCCTGGAGCACCCTTCACAAAAGGATCCTGACCTATGGACGCTTCCAGGAGTTGAAGCAGCTCGCCGCTCAAAGTGAAGCCGGCGATCTGCAGCGCTTCCCAGGACAATTTCAACTTGTGGGGCGGTTCTGCAGGGAAGGTAATGTTGCCTTTGGTGTGATGGCTGTTGCGTGATTTCACAACTAGATTCTTCCAACCATCGAAACGGTCTGGGGCTCTCCATGCCAGGGAGGAGCACTAGAATCCCAGACAAAAATAGCTCTGTGATACAGAGCCGAACTCACTGCTTCCCCAGACTCGTTCAGGGGTCCAGCGGATTGCGTCAGGCTCTGGTTGGACCGAATATGCAGTGTAGCGCTGGTAGCTGCGGTTTGCAAACAGGGTTCTGTCGGATTATGAGATTCGGACCCCAAGACTAGACAAAAATTGTGAAAATCAAAATCTCATCGGTGTATTCTCAACCCTTGGATCATTCACATCCAAGACTTGGTGCCGGGTTGCTGATATTCTTGCGCTGGATGCAAGGATTACGCGAGAAAATTCTCGAAGTTGCCCATGGTGTCATTCGGCGGTCTTTGCAGCCGACAAACAACATGGCATCTTGGCCAGCGCCCAGAAAAGGAAGCCACATGAATGCCTGGGGCGTGTGGGTGGGTGTTTGCTGCTATTGTCACTAGGGCATCCTGAGTGCATAAATGCTTCTCATGACTGAGGTGTCCAATTTGATCCGCATAGAGAGCGAGTTCATCAATGCCGCTGGATTACAGCATATGCCACCACAAATGTCTAGTAGCAATGATGGGCAGCTGTGCATTTCAATATACTGCAACATGGCATTTGCGACAACTGAGCTTGGGAGAGTTTGGGAGAAGTGCAAAAAAGAGGTGGACCACCCGGATTTCATTGGCGGCCTGAGAGCTATGTCCTGCAACTCGCTGGCGAAACAACATGCTGTGAGCAGTAGAGTCAGTTCAGTTGATAGCATCCAGAGGTGTCCAGGAAACCCGGCCGGAATCTCCACCGGCAGTGGAGGCATGCAGACTTGCGCATAGATGGAATAACTACCGGGCACTCAGCAAATCCCCATGACAGCAAAAACATGTTTATCATCCAAGTCCTTGGAGGTCTAAACCTGGTCTTGCATGTACGTGTGATTCTGGCTGGCGCAGGCTGCAGAAAGCCGTCAGCCAGCACCACGGGAGGTGAGTTGAGAAACCCAGCTATGTGCGTGGGCATGATTTGAGTCATGGAGAGGCAGATGATGTGATCCGATTACCGCCTGTGCCGCTGATTGTGACACCTGCTGGGGAACCTTCAGAGAAAGAGCGCATGGACACGGAGCTTCTCAAGCCCACAGCCTCAAAGATGGCACATCCTTGGCATGGGAAGTGGCAAGCGTGATCAAGCCGGTCGGACTTGCCTGAAACTGAGGTCGCTGCTCTTGTCCTACTTTACCATAGTCAAGAGCCACTGCGATGCTATCAGTAAGCTTGCTTTTTCTGTCGACATTGTAGTGGCAAGCGGTCAAGCCACGCATCATTCAGCAGAATGCGGTTCTGTCCAGGGAAGATCATTGACTCCGTACCGAAGGCCATCATGCACTTCATGGCACCGCTCTCAGAATATCTAGGCCCGGCTCGACCCCACTCCAAACGGTATTTTTCTGTCTTGCAACACCCTTTGGTGCTCATGTAGGCTGTGGCCGTTGCTCGCATTGAGGTGAATTCCGCGCAGGAGTCCCTCCACGCTGAGTGCATTGCTGTCGCCTGGCTTGACTGTAGAGAGCTTGCCTAGGGTGTGTGCAGGGCATGACTTGCAACAGGAATTGTACAAGTCCGATCTTGTCGCCCAGCTCTTGCAAGAGCCCGAGGACTTGGCTGTGATCAGCGTCTGGCTGATAGATGTTGATAGCCTCAAATGTTGTGTGGAGCACGATTCCCCTATTGAGCCTGGGAGGAGCTTCGGCAGAAGCGTCGCAGCTGCGAGGCCCTTCGGGGACTCGTCGGGGATAAGTGCAGTGATTATTTTTTGGTGTTGCCTCTTATTCTCGCCTCATGGAGGCAAAGCTGGCTGAGCTGCAGAAAGCCCAGGACAGCTGCATCGGAAGCAAGCGTTCTCCCCGCATGCAAATCCTGCTCCAGGATTTGCTAGCACAGATTTGCGATGCTGCTGCCGGCTGTGCATAGTATGCCATGCAGCACAGTCCAAAGAGACGCTGCGCCAATCGAAAAGTCGTGAGAATAGCCTGTCCCCGTGCGTGCAGCATGTTGGACTTGAGCAAAAGAGAGGCTGGATTCATGGCTGCATGGGGCTTTGAGACATCAACTTGCCATCCCCAACCAAATGCAGCCAAAAAGCCAAGGCGAGAAGTCATCTCCGCGGAAGTCTGGGCGGAAAGCCGCCCTTTCAAGGCTCATCATGATGCCATGGCTATCCATGGCTGATGCTTGCGAGTTCGGGATTTGGCGCCAAAGACATGAGCTGTGTACTTGCTTATTTGCCTTTTGGACCGTACCAAGGTTGTTTGTGTCTTTAGCTTGTGGCCACAATGTAAGCGGGCAAGCACCTCGCCATGCAAGATGTCACGGAGGAGGACATGAAGGCATCGTTTTTGCCCATTGTCCAGCAAGCAGCCATGGCCTTTCGCCAAAAGGACATAGATGCATTGAAGGCTGCCCTTGCCGAGATACTGACTGAGATAAAGGCCACAGAGCTGTGGAAAGGTGAGAGAGCTGCGCGCGCACAGCACCTGGACATCATGGCTTCGCGAGAGTTAGGGGTTGACAGTATGACGACATGGCTTTGCCCCATGCTCATGAGGGAGGAGTTAGCGGAACTGGCAGAAGAGTTGATCGAGGAGCTTTCTGCAGCAAAGAAGGAAGAGGTTCTGACGGTTCCGCTGCCATTCGGAACTCCTCCTGAGCTACTTGTGTCAGTGGGAAACCATGTCCTGGACTGGACTATGGCTGATGGCCGCTTCATTTGGCATGGTGCGCGGGCTGCTTTAAAGCTGATTGCAGAGGAGGCGGGGGAATTGAAGCTGCAAGTCCAAGACAGCACGGTCTTGGAGCTGGGCTGTGGGCTTGGCGTGGTGGGCATGGCTTGCGCACGTGCAGGTGCCAAGAGTGTGGTGCTGACCGACTATGACCATGAACTGCTTCGCGCATGCCAACGATCAATAGATCTAAACTCCTTGCAGCACATTGTTTGGACCCTGCACTTGGACTGGAACTCCACCAGCGCTGGGGCGTTCCCTGAGGAGCTTGAAGGCGGTGAAGTTGACTTTCTCATAGGAGCCGACATCATTTACGACGCAGATCATGCTGCGAGCGTTTTGGGCACAATCCGCCACTTTTTGCAAGCCGGCCGGGCCAAAGCTGCGTTCCTCATCACCGGGGAGCCTGACCGGCGACAAGGTGTGAAGCAGTTGGACGACTCGCTGAACATCTCCAACTGGGATTCTGACGTGTGTGGACAGGATGAGTGCATGACCTGGACTGGTTGTCGGCTGGTTGAAGACAGGACACACCGCCTTTACAGGTTCCGGCCGAGTTGAAGCTGGGCAGAGCAAAAGTGGGTACAGTGGTGCAACACTAGGTAGGATCTTGTTGGTTCAGCATATACATATCTGAAGGGAAGTCAAGTCTGTCCGAGCTCGCGCTGCGCGGAGGGCAGATATTGGTTCAAGAAAACCCTACTAGAACATAGTGGGATAAATCCTGAATGGTTCTGGTGTCATAGCCCCCGTGAGAGTACCATCTGCCAGCAGTCCAACAGCCCCCGCCTGTGATATGCAGGTCGCCCAAGAGAAGCAAGTCGCGATCCCCGGCTGCAAAGCCCGTTGTTGCCAAGCTCAAATCTCGGGAGGCCCACATTGAATGGGAAAGATTCTTAGGGATACAGCACGTGCCCATGCACGGACACCTTGCGAGGCTAGGGAGTCGGCTGCAAAGGGCCCTCCCGACGCTGGGCTGCACGCTTCGTCCAGCCCGGATGCCCCACCTCTATGTACTACTTTTACTACAGCAACCGTCGCTATCCACCGTACTCCTGTTCTCAATCCCACCACTACCAAGAGTAATAACAGCTACTCAAGACAAAATTAAGGCAAAGGTGATCGAGCTGGGCGACACGGCCCTGAGCTTTCAACAACTCGGATCCGGCTAGCGGCTGCATCTCCTTGCTCTGCGTGACCTTAAGATTTCACAAGGTCGAAGAAACAAACATGGCAATTGTCACAAGCTCAGACACTGCACGGTTATGTCGACCCAGCACCTTGTTCGAATGTTGTTAAGTTGAACTTTTAAGTCAATCATGCACCATACAACAGAAGAACTTGCTTCAACAAGGCTCAGTCAGGCCGCATTGACTGAAGGCTTACTTTCCTAATCCTGCGGAGACGCACTGGCAAGTATATTGCAGCTGAAGTCCCCCCCCCAAATCGAAGCCCGCATGTTTTAGGTGCGAACAGGCATGCCCATGAACACGGGAGATCCAACCTATCAAGCCGAGATCTTGGTGCCACAGGCCAGTCCTGAGCACTGCTTAGTCCATGCGGCAGAAGATGTGTCGAAGATAGTAGCATGTTCAAGGGAAATTTTGAAGCCATTGGCACAGCTAGTTCGATCAAGGGCACAGGCTGGAACCTACTACTTTTAGGGCCGTGCGGAACAGGCTGGGCCGCAATCCGTGAATCATTCGGGGCGACCTCGCCACGAGCTCACTGGGCCACAGCTACTCAGTAGGGTCCAGTGGAGCTGAGTTGCGGCGGTCAGGTGTCATGTGCATCCGCGGACCTTCCAGACCTTCGTTGCTGGATTGCATATATGCAGGCATACATGCACGAGGGCCGATTACTGGCTGGCTTTTCGTTTTGAGTTGCAAGTGCCTAGCAACGCTGCACCGAATCTAAGGAAGGACCTGGCCCTGACAGATGCTGCGAGGCTCACAGAGGCACGAGTCAAAACTTGATAGCCCGTTTGAGCTGTTTTCCTGGACACGCGTAAGACTGCAAGAATCACCACAGCCTACGACTTTGCTTGCGTTGTTTCATGTTTCGTTTGAGACTTGAGTGACTTCGGACGCTTACAAGTTCAATTGTGTACGCATCAGTCCCAGCGCGAAAGGCTGCGAAAGCAGATCCTAAAACAGCTGTGAGCTCGGAATCGTGTGTTGAGCTTCATGGGCCCGTTCGGGTCAATCAGTGTTCGTGGTCAGTCCCGAGCAAGCAAGCGGTGCGAGTGCATTGCCCAGGTCCGAGCAGTGGCAAACCAAATGCAGCGTACCAAGAAGGGCCATGATATGGACCGTTGACGTGCAGAAAAGGCCGCTTGCGCAGTCAAGTCTGAAGCTCGGTACTCGTACCTAGTGGACCAGAGGGAATGTGGCGTTCGCTCAAGCAAATCGTTGCATCATGAGACTCTTTGCACCCCTGTCTTGAGTGCCAAGAAGTTTGCGGCGCTTTTGTGGCTCCAGCTTGAGAACTATAACCTGCATCCAATGAATTGGATTCAGTTAGGTTACATAGAGAAAGGCACACAGGGGAATAGACAAGCAGATGAAAATCACTGTACGATGTTGGATCTAGGTCTAACCGAAAATTGACTTTGATAAGCTTTGGGGCTTTGAGAGAAGTGCATGATCAGGGAGGCTTGAGCCCCCGAACCAGTCCAGAAGCAAAGAGACAAGTGCAAGCTCTTTCAGGCAGCCTTAGCATTTAACAATGCAAGCAAGCTTGGCTGTCCAAAGCAAGTCCTTCTATGGCTTCAAGCTAGCAGAGGTAAGCCCTCAAGACATGTTCTTATTGCTGGGGGGTTCTGCTGGCTATTATGAGTACCATAAGGTGACGGCGCCTCGCTTACTATGATGTTAAGGAGTCTGGGAGCACCGAAATTTTTCGGGATGACATGTAAGCAAGCTGGGGGTTTCGCCCAAGGAAAACCTCCGGTTTGTGCGTGAAAATTCGCCAGTTATGCTGAACTTTTACTCAAGCAGTTCGTGCGAGTGCTCCCAGCGCGGAGAGAATGCGATTGAGTTGGGCAGTCTTTTCTGCCAGATATACAGCATAAGGGTTTGGGCATCGATGCACGGGGAACCGGATGCTCTCGCAGATCTACGTATTTATAGTTTGGGCATGGATGCTTTGGGAACCAGATGCTCTCAGAGATGAAGCTGAGTGTGGTTCTGGCCATAGATGCTGGGGGAACGGATGCTCTCAGGCAGAAGCGTCATTATCGTTTTTGGCCCGGATGCATTGGTTGGACGTTTTTCTGCCTTGGGCAGTTTTTTGGAAAGCGGACCCTCCTGGGGTTGTGTTCATTGTGGTTTGGGCATGGATGCAATTCTCGTTCAGTCATGTATGCTCTGGGAACTCGGCATTGGAGAAAGAAAAGTATCCCAGACTGGACAACATGAGCGGAATCCTCCAGAGGCACAGGTTGGCACTTCAAATCCAAAAACGACCTCTTCACTATCTGGACCCTGGATGTCCTTCTTGTTGGAGGGATATACTGTAGACAGCAAATTAATGCAACCTCAGAGAGCAAGGACGCACCCTAAAGCCGAAAGCATTTTCCCCTAACCCTGAATCTTAGAACCGAATGCATCAAGCTCTCCCAGAGCCTTCCGTATCGCCATCCGCGTCCACATCACCATAATTGTCAGCACCCGCACCACCACCACCGCCGCCGCCGCCGCCGCCGCCGCCGCCGCCACCACCACCACCACCACCACCACCTTATCATCATGAGCATCTGGGCAGCTTCATCACCCTGAACCCTTCAACTTCCATTGCAGTAGTTAGGAAACCCCGGCATACACAAGATGTCTCGTATGACACCTGAGCAAGGCTCATGCAAGAGTATGGTAAGCGTGGCCGGAACGTAATTTCCTTCCCTCATCCCAAAACCTCCCAACCCCTCCCCATGTCGAATCCTGAAAGATCCCAAAAAGTGCTCAAATGCATGACTTCTTGCAGGCGCTGTCTCTTACAACTGAAATGCTTGGCATCATCTTTATTAGTAACGTTGACAAGTGTCATGTGTAGTAAATCTTTGTGGCCCACCGGATGACATGGCCATCGAGCTGGCTTCAGACAGCGATTGCGAGCTGGTGGAGGCTCCACGGAAGAGGCTCGTCAAGTCCGGCACATTTTTCCTCTAAACATGGAAACCATTCCTTGTGCAAA